GGTACTGCCCCAGAAAGGTCTGTTAAAAAAGCTAAGTTAGACACCTGAAAAGAATCGGAAGCACTTATTCAAAGTCATTGAAGAATCTGAAGAATTCATCGAAGAGTTCTCATTGGAGAAATTCAGAAAAAAAGATCTGTCTGACTTTATGTAATAATTTGTGTCTATATGACAGTGTTTCAACTCTCTCTTCCATTTTGTTACAATGTACCTCAAGGTTTTGTCACAGAGAACCACCAAGGAAAAATCACTTGGGCATGCAAAAAGATGCATATGTTCCGAGAGGAAGAATTTTCTGCAATCGCATTAATAAACCAATCTCAGGAGAGGTTTCAATCTGTAAGTTCTAGATGGGCCAGACAGAGGGGTATAACCACCAATAAAAGTTGAAAGAGGAAGCAGGCTCTTAGGGTCACCTTTATGAGTTCTAATTAAGATTTATATGGATTTCGGGGCGCCTGGGTGGCTTAGTCGGTTAAGCGTCCGACTTTCGCTTAGGTCATGATCTCGCGGTTTGTGGGTTCGAGCCCCGCGTCGGGCTCTGTGCTGACTGCCAGCTCAGAGCCTGGAGCCTGTTTCGGAGTCTGTGTCTCCCTTTCTCTCTGACCCTCCCCTGCTCACGCTGTCTCTCTCTCTCTCCTAGAAATAAATAAAAAATAAAAAATAAAGATTCATATGGATTTTTTTTTAAATCAGGTGAACCACTATCTGAGAACCAAGTTTTCAACTAAGAGCTGAAAACTGGCTCTTCCACTTATTTAAAAAATATTATTGAACACTTATATCATGTCTGTAGGCCAGATACCATTTGAGATGCTGGAGGGGAAAAACTGATAACCAACTTTTATTCTGTTTTTTCAAACTGATCTTAAGCAGGTGAATGAAAAACAAGTACAAATGATGGCAAGTTTTACAAGTGAATGCTTATGTCTTCCCCCTAACTCATATGTTAAAGCCCTAACCCCCAATGTGATATTGGAGGTGGGGCTTTTGGGAGGTAACTGGGATTAGATGAGGTCATAAGAATAAAGTCCTCATGATGGGACTAGTGCCCTTATAAGAAGAGACCAGAGAGCTTCTTGAGAGTCTGTTGCTCCTTCTCTGGTCACTATATGAGGATATAGCAAGACAGCAGCCAGGCAAGGGTCCAGTACTCACCAAGAACCTAACCATGCTGACACCCTGATCTTGAGAACTTCCAGAACTCAGAGGAAACAAATGTCTGTGGTTAAGCCACCCAGTCTATGGTATTTTGTTACGGCGGCCCACGCAGACTAAGAGGCTTTCAAGTGAGCCAGGGAGGAAACGAGTGTGGCAAGAAGATTCACTACCTAAAAAAGATCATTAAAGCCTTTATATTTGGACAATTTACTTTTACCTAGAGTCCAAGCAGTGATTGATTAACCCCAAAGCAGACCAGTAATCTAGTCAGAACTAAACCAGTACGGTTCACATGCCTCTTAATGGTGAAAGGTCTGGTGGAGAGTCAGCCTTGGGCTCTACTTTCTTTTGGGTCACTGTGCAGCTTCAAGTTTGGAAACTGTACAACAAAGGACCAAAAAACTCTCCCAAATTTTCCCTATTATTATTCTGAATCCCTGTCACACAAATATATACTAGTGTTCTGAGATGAAGATGTTTGGGTTAGCCCTACAAATGGTCCACCAAAAATCTACCTCCATTCCTAAAAAAATATATAATGCATTATGTTCCCCTGTAAGTGAATCAGTAGCAGGATTTTTACTATTAAACAATTTTTTAATGCTTATTCATTTTTGAGAGAGAGAGAGAGAGAGCATGAGCAGGGGAGGGGTAGAGAGAGAGGGAGAGAGATGCAGAATATGAAACAGGCTCCATAATTCTAATTCATACTCTGAGCTGTCAGCACAGAGCTTGACATGGGCCTCGAACTCACGAACCACGAGATCATGGCCTGAGCCAAAGTCAGCTGCTTAACCGACTGAGCCACCCAGGCACTCCAGTAGCATCATTTTAAAATAAGAAATAGAAAACCCTTAGTTTTTCCTGTAAATGTGGAATAAAGAACCAAAAAACAAATATTTTCTAGGCTGTGCTTTATACCAGCTTCTAGGTTACTTCCTTTTAAGGAGGGGGGGGGAGTTTGCTTTAGATTATATATTCAGCTATAAATATGAGCAGATATATTTAAAAAACACACTGTTCTGATATACACTTACTTTTCTAAGATGTATGTTGAATCTCAAACCCAAATCAAAAAAGAAAACTATTCCTTTACCCCCAAGTTTAATATGGGGCAGATTTTCCATGACCCAAGTGTTCAAATATTTGCTTGACTCAAATCGACCTTTCTGACAGACCTGCTCAGACTCAGACAGATGTATGAGATCAGACTCATTCTGAGCCAAGCCAAGCTTTTTAACTTGTCAGATGTGTTCTTTGTGGAAATAGGATTGTAGCACAGGGGGGAGTTGGTGACACTCTTCTGGTGGATGGTCAATGTAATAATATTTACCATCATAACTTAATTATATAGACATAACAGCAACCTGGAAGTATATGACTACAGATACTGGAGTCTGAGCAAGAAAATGGAGGTTCACTCTTATTGAATTTAAGTATATTTATATGCCCTTCTTCAAAAATTCCTCGGGTTTACATTTCTAAAGCTTTCCCCTGGTTTTCCCACTTGTCTCCCGCTGAGATAACATCTCCGGAGTCTACAATCACTGATTACGTCTTCAAGTCCTACCACGTCAGGGAGGATTTAGATTTCAGTATCCTGGGGAGGAATATATATATAGAAACAGAAGAACTTGTCTGGAACTAAGACCTTATTTAGGGATAATGGAAACCACCTAATGTATGTTATTAGCATTTGAGTTTCAGAGCGAAATGCTTTCTTAAGTGCTTGCTCTCAAGTACCCGCCTCATACTTGTAGCACTTTGTTAGGGCTTGGCCTCTTTCCTAAATATAATTGTTTGTATGTCCAGAAATATATAATGGAATCTCATAAACACAGAGAGACATTTTAAGATCACTCAGCATTAACCAGAAGCAGCCTTTCTTACCTCTCACGAATTCTGCCCCGTTGGGATTTAGAATAGGGCTCATAAGTGCTGAAACTTAATAATCTACCAGATCTTCCTCACACTTCTTAGTGAATTCAAGAGGGTTTTTAAAGATCATAATTTTTGTGTTTTCTCTCCCTTCTAGCAGTTTAAAGATGAGGCTTTCTGCTCCACATCGCTGCTTACAAATTATGTTTTCAAACAAGGAATTACAGTTGCCCTTTCTGTTACTCATTTCCTTGATTCCCACCTTCCTTTTGTCCTTATGTGCATCAAGCTTCCTGGCAGTGCCATGCATTTCATTTACAACCAGGTTTCTGATGGCCACTGGGCTCTACCTCCTGGTCTGCATGGGCTTTTTCCAACAGGCACCTTCAGCTTTTCTTCATGCTCATCTGCCTGAGCCTCTGGCCACAGCCTGGTGCTTCTCTATCTTAGGCTGCCCCACATTTTCCCCACCACTCCAGAAAGAGATTTCCCATTCTCAAGTTAACTGCTAGCCCGGAACTTTTTAAGAACTTTTAAAAGCCCCCAGGTCTCATCACTCCCTTCCTCCCTCCCTCCCTCTCCCTCTCCCTCTCTCTCCTAGAACTTTTCAAGAAACTTTTAAAAGCCTCCGGGGTCTCATCTCTCTCTCTCCCTCCCTCCCTCCCTCTCTCTCTCTCTCTCCTAGAACTTTTCAAGAAACTTTTAAAAGCCTCTGGGTTTCATCTCTCTCTCTCTCTTTCCCACCCCCCCTCCCCCCCACTTTTTCTTTCCTTCTTGAGTGGTGGTGGTCCAAGCTCAGTCACATCTTTCAGAGTTAAGGTGGGCGGCAAAAGCCTTTGGTTTTGTCTGCTGGAAGATTACTGCTTCCTTGTGGTGGAGATATTGTGCTCTTCCCAGAGCCTAGAGTGGGGCTGTCACTCTCTGCCAGGTTCAGAAGGGCTTTTTTTTATTGTCCCTGTCAGTTAGCAGCCCAAGGTTACTGCCAGCTCTCTGTCAGGGCTTTGATTTTTGTCAGCTATGGCCAGGTCCTTTTAGTTATCTGCAATCTTTTCAGCTTTGTTCAGGCTGAGCTCTACTTGTCTACTAATTAGCTCTTTGGAGATTTCCCTTTTAAAACTCACTATCACAGAGGACAGGAACCGTTCAAAAGTTTTGTGTTTCATAGAAATTCCATATTCATCCATATCTCATACAGCCATATTCTTAAAATTAAAAGTGGCAGGTCAGGCCAATTTAAGGTATAGAAGTAACATCATCTATAAAGGAAGACCTTCAGGTTCTTGATCAGGTATGTAGATGAGTGACAGGGAAAGGAAAGGGTTTACATCAAAAAAAAAAAAAACACTGAGGGGTACAAATTAAAAAGAAACTATCACTCTGTATAACATATTCACATTTTCTTTATCTTCTGGTGTGCAAATATTGTGCTAGCTGAATATAAAAGTAGCACAACTTTAGGGTACAAAAAAAACACACTGTAATAACATCAAGAGTGGTCTTACATCAAGGAGGGCCCTGAGGATGTCTTTGTTGTCAACTTCAGAAGAAAAGAGAGGAACAGAAGAGGAAACTGGCAGAAGGAATAGATGCCAAAGAGAACTCAAAGGATTAGGTCCGGGTGAGGTGATCGGTATTCGAAAACAGTCTGCCTTCTGGCTCTGATCTAAGGGAATAGGCTGGCAGCCAAGCCAGAGGGCATAGCAGCACAAACACACCTTCAGCACACTGCTTGAGGGTTGCCTCGGTGCCTTAGAAATTGTGCTGGCAATTAGAAATAAAGCTATGGAAGAGCAATACGCAAAGTACTCTATCTATATATACAAAATTCTGCTTTCTGCTTAATTCCTAACCTGGTTGACCCCTCCACACAGACTTACCTTTTCTTCGTCTCTCTCTCTCCCTGTTTCTTTTCTTTTTTCTTTCTTTCTTTTTTTTTTTTTATTTTGACAAGCCCTCCTTCTTTTCTAGGCTCCTAAGTACATTTTTCTTCTGTTAACTTAGTGCTGTTGTAAGTTGCGCTTACATTGCATTTACACACTGTTAATGCCTGCAAGATGAAAGTAAAAACCTTTGAATATATTAATGCTATAACACAGATGTCTTACTTTTTACCCTTTTTTTTTTTTAAGCAAGTTGATGTGGCTAATAATGATGCAGATTGTGCTGGATAGATGTACAGATGAAACAGGGGAATACAGATTAAATAAAAATTTCTTCAAAGCTTACGTTTGCTTCATAATTTAACTTCTGGGCTTGTCTCAGTGGTAGTAGGTGCAACCAGGCATCATAACATTGTTCTGAAACATCTTGGCATCGCAGACCCACAATCATCCAAACAGCAGTGCCGTACTTCTCCAAAGCGAGAAGAAAGTCACAGTAGGGAAAATAGACTGCCGGTGGCTCTATCCACACGGGTCTGACCCAACTGCTCATAAGGGGGCAGCTGTGAGAAGTCAGGAACCAGGTGTGCTGCTTAAGAACTAATCTGCTTGTATACTGAACTTCACTGTTTGTATCTACATTCAAAGCACCAATAGCTTCTTGCCGATACGGAATATGGTGTGTGCCAGAGGTAGCCCTGTGCTCACTCTGGAAACATCCATGGAATGACTCTTTCATTTAGGTCTTTTAAACAATGAATGAAAGGGGGCAATAATGACACAGGCCTTGGACCAGGCCAGGACCTAAAAGACCATAAGTTTCTCTTTTATGTATCCGCTCATTCAAGGAACATTTATTAGAATAGCACCCTGTGCCCGGGATTTTGCTGGGTCCCCAGGATATGAGGATGGGTGAGACATACATGTTTCCTCAAGGGTCTCATCAGAAGGGGGCATGGGTAAGCAGAAAACTTATAATATCATCTTTTAAAGGAATGGAAAGTGCTGTGGGGTCTTTTAGGAAGGAATGGGACTGTCTGCCAGGCCAAATGTGGAAAGACTGCATCTGAGGTCTGCATCTTTAATGCGTGAGGAGAAGCTTTACCAGGTGATGCATGTGTTGAGGCCTGGACCCGTGGACGGGCAGCAGCACTGGAAAGTGGTGAGAATGCCAGAGCTTAGCCTGTGTGTGTGTGTGTGTGTGTGTGTGTGTGTGTGTGTGTGTGACACCGGGGAAAGAATGATAGGTGATGAGACTAGGGAAGTAGGTTTGAATCATACCCTACAAGGACTCCTATGCCAAACTAAAGCATTCAGCATCTTCTCTACAGGCAACAGGAAACCAACTAGAAGCTTCCAGCAAAGGGGAAGGGTAACATGATCTGACATCCTTTTTATGATGAACTGTGATAGCTGGAAACACCTCCAGCAAAGACTGGTGCAAGGAGGTAATCTGGGGCATATACAGTTCCCCAGATGGGGATGGCAGTAGTCAGCTAAAGACAAGAGCCTAGATTCAAGACACACTTTGAGGGACTTAGACTAGCAGACTTGAGCTACAGCAAGAACTTTCTGCCAGTGGCCATCTTATTCGTTACCCTTCACCTCCAGTACTACCTAATCTGATGTGGGCAGTTCTGAGGTAACTTGCTGAGAATCCCAGGTTTCTTTCTGGGGAAAGGGAACTCCATTCATAAGGGTCTGATAAGATACATGAAAGAAACAGTCTTCTTCTGCCATACACAGTGTGTTTGGTGAACACAGACAGCAGCCATGCCCTGATGCACAGTGTTATCTTTCCTGTACCTAAATAGAACACTGAAGAAATTACCCACCTCATAATGCTCTCTTGAATGAATGAATCAGAATGAGAGACAAAACTGGAGTGCAAAATGTGTGTGTGTGTGTGTGTGTGTGTGTATCCCTCACAGATTGTAAAAACCCACTGCATTTGTTTAAAATAGTTATAAGAATGTAAAGATCACTTTTACTTTTTTTATCTTGAGAAGTGGCCAGTTTATTATAAACAATAGAAAAGTTACCCTCTAGTGCTATTTGGAAATAAGTGCTCATCATCCCTTTGTGGGATTAAGACTAAGCATACGTTGTTGCAGTAGTGGTATATAATGTCGATATCTTGGCCTCCTAAGTGATACACACAGCACGTCTATGTGCCCACATGGCAGATCTTCAGAGAATGACTGTCTAGGCCTTGTGCTTTTTTGGAGGTGATGAGGTCCTGATGCTGCCAGAGAGGAGATCTATTACCTTCTGCTGATGTTACTAAAAAGTCAATAGGTAAACAGGGCTGACAGGGAGAGTTGAGCAGTTTGTGTCCTGAACAAGGATAAGGATACTCAACTGAGGGGTGAGTGGCAACTGGAATCTAGAAATTGTGTCTGACTTGAGGGAGGCTTTTTCTTAATCACATCTAAGTGCTAGATGGGAAGATGGGATTCTGGGTTTAAGGTAAAAGGACTAGAAGGAATGGAAATGATACTGCTAAGACCAGTTTCATGGACAATGCCCCGAACATATCCACTCCCCAGTATGCATTCTGTCCTTTTATACTATCTTCTCTTTGTTTCCTCTCAGCGGCTTTTGAGCATCAAATCTAGTCTTGCTGTTTGGACTTTCCCTCTCACACTCTACTTGGTTAGTACAGTTTTAAAGGAGGCTGAAAGGAAACAGGCGCACACTGTGTCTTAAACATGATTGACGCAGCCATCTGTCAGGCGCCAGGGCCGTCTGGAAGAGACGGCGCTCCACGCTCATCTGGCCAACTGGCCGAGTGAGGGACCTGAATAATGACGTTAGCGAAGTGGAAGCGTTGTCCACTGGATGAAACTGCAGACATTACTTATGGATGACATGAGGTCAAAAGAGGTCAGAAAAGACGAGAGAGGAGCTGGCCGTGACAGCTGTCCACGCTGCCCCTGAGACGCGTTATCACCGCATCAGAGCTGGGGTTGCATCTTCTCACAGCCAAGTGTTTCTGTTCACCAGAAGCATTGTTGCTGCAGCATTTCAGACTCAGGCAAGTCTCCCAGATAGAGATAGGCTCATGGAGAAGGATGCAGGAAGCATGGACCACTCTGGAAATCATGACAGCCTTTGCATCCTGTTTGTGCTCTTCTTGGGAGCCTGACTGCCAGAGTGAGCACCCTGCAAGGGCAGCTATTAGCATTGTGGTCAGTCCGCAAGCCTCCAGCCAAATGAAAGCACACATACAGGCATGAGTGAATGGGCAGCCTGAGGACTGCAAAGGACATAGGGGCTGATGTGGAGAGTTGGGGAGAGAGCTTTTTAAGAACAGGTGTCATGGAAGAAAAGTATTAAGTATAAATCTTTTATTGTATAGTCAAATAAAAAGGTCCACTCCTGTGAATGATAGTGCACCACTGTCTGCCTAATTTTGTGGAGAGGTATCAAGTTAAGAGGTTAAAGACTTATAACAGGATTTATTCTTTTTTTTTAAGTTTATCTATTTTTGAGAGAGAGAGAGACAGAGACAGAGACAGAGACAGAAAGCAAGCCAGGGAGGGGCAGAGAGAGAGAGAGAGAGAGAGAGAGAGAGAGAGAATCTGAAGCAGGCTCCAGGCTCCAACCTGTCAGCAGGTTGTGACTCAACCTTTGTGACTCAACCTTTGTGACAATTTGTGACTCAAACCCACAAATTGTGAGATCATAACCTGAGTGGAAGTTGGATGCTTAACCACCTGAGCCACCCAGATGTCCTATAACAGGATTTATTCTACCTTAATACATATGAAGCCTTAAAACAATATCATTTCAGTCTTTTATAAACTGCCTCTTACCTAGGGCCAGAAATATTAACACAAAGAATAAATTTAGATACTTAATTTTATCACTTATAAAGTTTCTATCTTCTTGCACAAGAAAATAGATATTAGATTGACAATTTGTCACTTCATTAAATGTTTCAAAGCCCCCTTTAATTTATTTATTTAATTTTTAAGTGTTTATTTTTGAGAGAAAGAGTGTGTGTGAGGAAAGGAGAGGCAGAGAGAGAGGGAGACATAGAATCCAAAGCAAGCTCCAGGCTCTGATCTGTCAGCAAAGCCCAACAAGGGGCTCGAACCCATGAACCAGAAGATCATGGCCTAAGTGAAAGTCGGATGCTTAGCCAACTGAGCCACCCATGTGCCCCTCAAAGCCCCCTTTTAATTTCACCTTGAATACTGTCCCAATAATAGCCACCATGTATAGAATGAAACACAAATATATGCATTCTATGTGAAAAATAACTATTAATATTAACCTTAAGGAGTTAAAGGTTAAAAAAGAGCACAGCTCCAATTCTCAAGTATAATAAATCAGTCCAGTTTGGAGTCAAGGTTGTAAAAACATGTCTAGAGCTCTTTACTGTAAACACAATGAGATCAAGAATGGTTCCCCCTGGAGAAGCAAAAAAAATGCATTTCTAAATTGCAAGCACTTCCAGCATATTGCTTGATGCCGAACACAGCTTCCTTCTGTTGCACTTTAATGCTATTCTTTTCACAGATGAAAGTTTCATTAAAAAAAAAAGAAAAGGATACAGGAATATGTAGATAGTATGAGAGTGATGGCTAGGAGGGATAGCAATAGTTTATGTGGTCTGGGAATTCTCTTCTATGTCACCATCCTCCCTCTTCAGTGAGTGTAGCAAAATAATTGGCCAACATAATTAAATATGAATCCGCATAACTTCAGACTCTGAAAGTGTGATTAGTCCTTTGATAGGCTAAAAGAGGTGCTTCACCCAGCCCTGTATTCCAAAAGCAAAGTGAAAAAACCTGTACTTTCTTTGATTTGTGAAAAGATGCCTGTGCTGTAAATAAGGAGCACGTACTTGACATTTCCTTAGGAAGGCATCTGAAACCTCAGAATGTATTTATCACAAATGCAGTGGGACATTATAACATATTATAGTCCTTCAGTCCCATTTTTCCCCACCAGCACTCATATGTTCTGAGAAGAAAGAACTTTTCAGCTTATTTGGAAGGCAGCAGCACCATGGAACTAAAATAAAACAAAAAAGCAAAAAAAAAAAAAAGAAAAGAAAAGAAAAGAAACAAAACCAAAACCCCATAATGTAATGGTGATCAGCAGTTAGATAATGAATCAATAAGACCTGTGGTAGACAGAGCTCTTTACCAGGTACTATGAAGAGGTATAAATAAAATGGCCAATAGATATCCTTCCCTCAAAGGGTCCTTAGTCAAATATATACTTGTCTATGTATAAACAAATGCATGTGAATGTATAAACAGCACATGAATCTTAAACAACCAGAGCATGCAAAACCAATTACAACCAAACACACATGAGTTCGTGCAGAAGTCCCTCCCGAACAGGCTGATTTCCTCTGAGATGGCCTCAAAACCTGGAACTGCCAGCCACAGAAACAGCTGGATGACAGTACTGTCCACAGGATAAACTTGTTCATTTTCTGTCAAAGCTTTTATTTATTGTGAGATAGGACAGTAGTTACAGTTTGATCATATGATAGAGGTTTAATAAAATTAATCCAATAACTGATGTACTCACCCTTCTTCCTTGATGGTTTTCAAGCACTGAACTTTGTTTTGGCTAAAAAGAAAAGGAGGTAATTTGTAAACTTTTTCCTGCAATATTTATCCATTTTTTTAAAAAAAATATTTATTTATTTTGAGAGAGGGAAAAAGAGTGTGTGCACACAATGGGAGGAGGGGAAAGAGTAGAGAGAGAGAGATGGAGGGAGAGAATCCCAAGCAGGCTCTGTGCTGACAGCACTGACCCAACTCAGCGTTTAATCCCACAAACCCTGAGATCATGACCTGAGCTAAAATCAAGAGTCAGACACTTACCAAGCCACTCTGGTGCCCCTAACTTACAATATTTAAATAAGGTACCTGAAAGATGATTTTTTTAGCTTAATTAGAGGGAAATGGTACACATCTCTATGACAAAACTTAGGGAATTTAAATTTAGAAGCTATAAAATGAGAAGGCTTTTAACAGATTTCCCCCGTTAAGAATTACTAACAGAAACTATCATCCTAATATTACCATCATCTTAACATTTAGCATTTTAATATTAGGAAAAAGTATCTGATTATAAGAAATAATTTCTCATAGAAAGTTATAACATTTACAACCAAATCTCATGAATATTCAAATGGAATAAGTAGAAGGTCTACCTGAGTATAGACTGCTATTTTTCATAAAGATCCAATTCATAAAACAGTAATGATACCATTGTAAACCTGGCAGGAACATGAGTCCAGTAAAAAGCTACCAATCACCAAAGTTGGTTTAAGAAATTAGGGAGGTAAGTGAATTGTTAACAGGAGTCTCCCCGTCTCAACAGCTATCCTCATAGCGATACAAGTGAACGGTCAAACAAGTTCATCACAGTTTTGGTATCTATGAGTTATCACTACTTTGAGAAGCAGTGTGGTTGATTTAAGTGACAAAAGCATTATTTCAAATCCATCTGTACCATATATGAGTCGGTTCTTTGGAGTCTTCTTTAACATTTTGATAAGCATCTATGGGGATTTTGTGAGAAATAATATGCACCTGAAAGAGCCCAAAACACAAGGAAGAAAAGGACCTACAGAGCCCAGGTAAAACTGCCATATATGAACTGTCCATTTATATAAATTCTATTAATTATAAAATGGAAATGTAATATTTATGTAATAGAGTAATAAAAATAATTGGTAGATAAAATTATAAACCTGAAACTCTTGAAACACCTTCTGAGTCTTCATTTTAGAGATAGCTTACATGTACTGATTCACATGAAACTGCTGTCCAAAAGAAAAAGAGTGGAGCCTTTGATGGTATACCATAATCTCCCTTGCTGCCCCCCAACAAATCCTTAATAAAAAGATAAGTTACTTAGTGCAGCAGAGATAGTTTACTTTTTAAAATGTCTTTTTAAAAAAAAAAAAATGTGGGGCCCCTGGGTGGCTCAGCCAGTTAAGCACCCAACTCTTGATTTCAGCTCAGGTCATAATCTCACAGTCACAGGATGGAGCCCCTCCAACAGGCTCCATGCTGACAGTACACAGCCTGCTTGGGAATGTCTCTCTTCCCCCACAAAAGAAAAAAATTCTTGGAACTGTGGGAATTGTAGAGAAACATGACAAATGCCATTGGAATGAGGTAGAGCAGAAAAGTCTCTGGCCATGGGGTCCAGGACCCCAGTGTCAGGCCCTGGGAGGGCGGTCTGTGCGACTGTTTCCCGCCCATACAAGGCAGAAGCTCACCTCAGCTCCCACTGCTGACCGTCCAGTATTCTCATTACGCGGGTCTGAAAGAACCGCTTCTCTGACACATCCTGGAGGCAGAGGAGAGGCTAAAGATGTTAAAAGCAAGTTAAACATCCATGATGAATTCCTGAGGGCACTGCTTAGTGAGGGCTTTGGACCTGAGAAAAAGCCATTCTGAAATTCTGAGGTTGGAGTACTGAGAGTCAATTCCTGCAACCATGCTATCATCCTTTCATCTGCAACAACAGTAACACGGACAGAAAAATCATGCATAAAATGCATTTTGTTTTAATTAACTTTGAACATATTAAATATATGAACTCCAACAAGTCAAAATTTATTTGCAAACACACTTACAAATCCTGACACATGACAAAGTTTTCATGTTATACAATCTGCTTTATAACTAATCTATAACATGTCACTTTTTCATGCTTTAGAAGCTACCTAAGAATCCTCCGAAGGTGTTAAAAGGCGGTGGGGGGAGAGGCAGAAGGGGACCTTGATTATTTTTTATAATTTATAATCTGCAGATTCCCTCCAGAGTGACAGGTGTTTGTGTCAGGCAGGGTAAGACTCACTCCAGGCCAGGTAAACACCTAGGAGACGTGGCACGTTAGCTTGAAATGCTGGAGGAAGTTGGGCTCCAGCTGAGATTGTTGCACCCTTGTTTCTTGTGCTTGACTAGGAGAGGGTGAAAAACTATAATTAGAAATTATGTGGGATACAAAAAGCAAAGCAACTTCCGTGTCATAAAAGCGACGTGGCTTCTACCTGGTCCCTTTTGGGCTAAGTAAGCTGTTTGATCAGCTTCTCTCAGTCTCTGTGGATGTCCTTATAGGAGTCTAATTGAAGGACTCCTGTTCTCTTTTTATTTTTGCTCTATGAAAAATGTATTGGAGATGTCTCATAATGAACTTTGATATGGTGAAATGATAATAATGTCCTAATTATATATAAAAATGTAATTACACTTGCTTCTATTATAGAAAAACTCCCTTTATAATGAAGTGTTATGTTGGAAAAAGATTTTCATTATAGGCAGACTCCTTTACTTGTTAATTTGAGCTCTGATTCATCATTTTAATATTAAAAAAATTCTTTGTAAGTTACTTTTGATGTGTCTCATTTATGGTTCATTTCACTTCCTGGGCACCACCAGGAGCCCAAATCCAAACTTCTTTGAAAGACACTTAAAAATACATCTTTCAAAAGGAATTCTTCTTTCTATGTGGTGGAACAGCGGTAGTCAAGAAAAATATTACTGATCTTCTCATTTACTTGAGCTCTGAAAACTTTTGTTCTGAAATTTGGAAACAAAAAATATACTGGCTTCTTAGTTAAAAATCTGGCATGCATAAGATGGTTGCATATAGACAATTTAAAAATAGGGTTTAGCCAATAATCAATTACATAGGTGACTTCACGGCATTCAAACAATACGGCTTCTTTTCTACTCCTTTTGGGACGGCTCAAAGCGTGATTTCACCAAATCAAGGAAAAAAAAAACTTGAGGGTACAACAAATCCATCTTCTTTGCCCTTTGCCCTAACAAATCTGGTCAGAGTCTTATTAGGAAAAATAATTACATGGTTAAAATTAGTTTTGAGGTATTTAGTTACTCAGCTGAACCTATCTACCACCATTACAGGGGATGAATATCGCATCGTTAACACTAGAAAAAAAGAGATTAAGCTATAAACTCTCAAAATCAACAAGAAAATTTAATTTAAATAAAGACCTTCAACAGTGTTGCAAGAAAAATCCAAAAATTAACCTACAAGTACTACAGAGTATTATATTTATTTTAAGGCATCTAGTTTCAGATTTTAAGAAAGATTAACTTATTGGGGCACCTGAGTGGATCAGTCAATTAAGTTTCTGACTTCAGCTTAGGTAGTGATCTCGCAGTTCATGGGTTCAAGCCCAGCATCGGACTCTGTGCAGAGCCTGGAGGCTGCTTGAGATTCTGTGTCTCCCTCTCTCTCTGTCCCTCCCCTGCTCACTCTCTCTCTCTCTAAAATAAACATTAAAAATTTTAAGAAAGATTAATTTATTTAAAAGTAATTTCTTAATAGAGTGGTGGGTCCTTAGAAATGAGACTATGATTTATGTAAGTCTGACTTTTACAAAATCAGAACCACTACCTACATTTATTGTCCAATAATCTGCGAGTAGAATAGGAATCTTGAAAATTCTAGAGAATTCCAACTTCTTTGATAACCTCTTCGTGAATAGAGTGACTGTAGGAATGTCATGATAACTTAAGTTATGAAACTTTAAAGGAGTTGTATTTGACTCCCTGCCCACTGTCCTGACCCTACATTCAGTCTACAATGAATCCTTCTGACTCTACCTCCTACGTATCTCTCAAACCCACTGCACCCCATCCCTCACCTCCCAGTCTAAACCACTGCCACATCTCTTAGATTCCTGCAATGGCCTCCTAGTCTCTTTTCTTCCTCCCCAATCCATTCTCCAAGTATGAGTTAATGATCTTGTAAATCATAAACCAAGCCATGCCACTTCCCTGCATAAATCCTTCCCAAGGTTTCCCGGTGCACTCAGAATAAAATCCAAGTTCCTTACATGGTAAGGATGTTAGGCTACGATGACCTGACTCCTACATACCCCTTCTACTTTACCTCTTGCCACTCCCCTTCACACACTCAACTGCTCTCAGACACACTGACAGACACTTACACACACCACACCCTGCTGCCTCTGCCCACAGTGCTCTTTTCCAAATGTGTTACATGGCTGGGCGCTTTTCACACCTCAGTTTCAATGCCTGATAACCTGTCTGAGCAAGGACCAACTTTGGCAGTTTTCTCTCCCACTATTCCTATTTCCTCTTTGACTCTACCTTCCCTGTCACTCATTTAGGCACTGGTTTTATTTCTCTACCCTTCACGAGATGTGGCTTTGAATAATAAGAGTCATGCACTGTCTCAAACCACATCCACGTTCCCATCACTTGCCTCCCAGAACCTAAGCCTCCTGGTTCTCCCAACTTTATCAGACATATCCGCACCACTGGGCCTCTGTTCATCTTCTCTCCTCTATGTGGAACAACCTGGAGACTTTCCAAATCCTTCTTGTCATTTCCACTCAAATGCCACCTCCTCTCAGAAGACTTCTTTGATTCCCTTATTAGAATTAACTTATCCTTGTGACTCAGCACCACTTTATTTACAGTATGAATCCCATCATGGTTTGCACCAAGGTTAGTTGTATACAGGTGTGTCACATCCACAACATACTTCTGATTGTTTGGGGGCATTTCTCTTAATACGAGTTTTCCCATTTTTAAACAACATTTAATTGATGCCTTCCCTTTACCTACTTTCAGCAAATAAATTGTATAACTTACTAGACAAAGGATAATTACACTTATTAAACAAAACTGCTAAATAATTTAATGACTTTGCATATCAGAATTTTCATAAATATCTCTAAAATCACTGCTATTTGTTAGACATTAACAATAAGTAATGTAATTGTAAAATAATTAAAATCCCTATTTGGCAAATAATGGCAACCAATCATGTTTCCTCCTTTATATTACTTTTATTCAAATGGAAATGGAAAGCCATTCCATGTCTAATGTGGATGATACTGTAAGAATGTAAATATGATGATGTCTCAAATATGACAACATGAACTCATGAATCCCAAAAGGGAACACAGCACTTAATATTAATTAACACAAGGAAGACAGAGCCAAGAATACCCATTGATTTAAAAAAAAAAAAACACAAAACTTTACACAACTAATTTTTGTAATTATTTGGTGAAAGGTAAATACGAGTAACTGATAACTGGTCTACTTTAATTTCCACTCAAAAGGATAGGTATAACAAGCAATGATAGTACATTAAACTCAAAAGAGTGGGATTTCAGAATTGACGAAGTCCCTCTTGGGTTTTTGGACATTTTGAGGTTTTCATTTCTCTACTTGTAAGATCTTTCAAGTTGTCTCATTTTAAATGTTAAAAAGGATGAAAAAAATGTGTATAGGAATCATCTCTGAAAATATTTTTCAAAGAACGTTATTAGTAGTGGGAGAATCCCTCTCAAAATACTTCTATTTCTTTTTTTTTTTTCAAATCTTAGTTATGTCTCCTCTACCAGTAAACTACTTTATACTTACTCTCTTTTGATAACTAGCATTTGAATCTAAAAGATAAAAACCTGAAATAACACCAGATACTATGTTTCTGAGAGTCGTGTTCAGCTGCATACAACAGAAAATCCAAGCTGAATTGGCTGGGAAAAGATAGGGGTTTATTTCTCTCCCACATGAGGAGCTGGGGGGTAGGCACTAAGACTATTCTGGATGCACCCTAGTCAATCAGGACTGTGCTTTGTCTAGCTTTGTGCATCATTCTTACAGCTCTTATTTTCAAGACTGACACATGGCCCAACATGGTTGCTGGAGCTCTTGCCTAACAGCCACAATTCAGGCAAGAAAAAAAAAAAGGAGGGGAAGGAAAAGCAAAAAAAAAAAAAAAAAAAAGGTCATGTGTCCTAG